CTAAATGTTTTACACATAAGCTAAGTTGAAAGTTACATAACTGTCTCCATTAACTCCTATGTCGTGCTAGAGCACGATCGCACTAGACAACAGCATGACACATTCCCGATCAGTCGTCTAACAGCACCATGGAATCATACCTACCCAAGAAAGCCACAGAATGAAGGCTTACAAAGTATATACTACAGTCTTCTGCTGAAATTCTTTAAAAAAAATTGGAATATTTTACATTATACAAAAATAAAGTGAAAACATTAAAAAGACAAACAAAAGTTCTCTCCTTAACACAAATGAACTCACCCCACTGTTTTAACTACATCTTTTGAAACAGAAACATCTTCCATTCCTTAGAAATGCTTTGAAAGCCTAAATAAGACCTCAGGTTTAATCACAATAATCCTTCCAAAACTTTCCAAAAGTCACAGATAAAGGCCAACTTTGTTATACATAAAACTATTTGGAACTGCTTGAATGTTTGCTAAACTGCATTATTTGCAATATGCTATATACAAGAGCCCAAAACACCAGAAGTATTTTATACTGTAAATATGATATGAAAAATTAAAACTGTAATCATGACAAGAAACCTACACCACTTTATATGAATTTCCTTCAAAAACCTACAAGCTATTTGCATTATAAGCTCTTCTTTAGTGCCAAAAAAAAACAAATGTAATTTTTTTTTAATATCAAAGATACCTCCTTTTCAAAAACACACTGTGCAGATTTTTTAATAAATGTCACCAACCCATGGACAACAACAGAGATGTTAAGAGTGGCATCTGTATATGCCTACAGTAAGCACTGGAGTGATTGATTCAAGCACAGACACTCATCTGACAATGAACCAAGGCTGAAGATAAGGCATTTCAAAAACAAAGGCATGATTGTAAAAAAACATTTCTATAATTTCAGAAACTAGGTCCACACTGTAAATCACTTCAGACACCAGATGCACACCGACTAAGGCTTCATGCTATATTTTACTTGGATCCTGCTTTTTATTAACACAATAATTACAAAAGCAATATTTGTGGATTATTTTGGTTCAAAACATTGAGGATTTACAAGGGGAACAATACATCAAGGTAAACAACTGAACAGATTATAAGTCCCCATGTAATCAACTCAAAATAAGGAAAACCAAAAACAAAGAAGAAGCAGTAACCAAGACAAAAATCAAAGAAAGGAAAGAAAACTGAAATTAAATAGAGATAAGAAATTAAGAGAGCAGAGGCAGCAACATAATGCTTAGTGCTGTTTGTTTTAGCAGAATATTTAAATGACCCTACACATTGCTGGGGAAATCCTTTCACAAAAATGGAATTTGCAAAACAGGCCAATATTTTAAGAAATAGTTTATAATTCAGGCACCAAGATGAATATTGGGCAAATACACATTTGCATTTCAACAGATATGGCTTTTATTGGCTAATAGGCAATACAATTCCAGCCATGCTGCTGGTCCCTGGTGTTTGCACACATCACCACTATAGCCCTAGCTTTAAGGCTGGCAGAGAAAGCACATGTATGATTAATGTAATTGCCACATAGCAGCTGGACTCGGGGAAATGACTCCCTTGGAGTCCTGAGCAGACAAAAGCAAAATGGGGGAAACACACCAGTCAATCCAAACCTAACAGAGTAATTCAATCAAAGCAAAATGCTAATGAGCAGAGTTCCTCTGCTGTGACACCCTAAAGATTGGATATACATCTAAACGAAATCATAAACGGAAACAATTCTGCTCTCTTGAGGGTTTGGAATTCCTGCTGATTCACTATCCGATTTGGTCAAATCCTGTACAGGCTGATAAACCCCAAGAGCCATAACTGAATGCTGATAACCTGTCTGAGGCCCCCAGTGCTCCCATTGTGCTGCAGCATCTTCCTCTCTAATGTTTTGACTAAGGGTCAAAGCTAAACGTTTCCCTCTTATCTTACATATTAATATGTGGTTTTGACATGCTTCTTCAGTTTGGGTAATCTCTGGTAATGCCACGCTTGAGAAAGTTGGTCCTTCCTTTCCCACTCTGGAAGGAGATAATATTCTAATAGTGACACTGCCAATTTCACAATTACAAGTGACAAGTGATACTTTTGTGATTGGGACTATCAGCAAAACTAAGCAATTAAGCACAGAATGAAACCCTAATCTGCTGATAGAGTGAACATGAAGTTCATAATTTACAGGGCAGCTAGTGTCTGTTATGCTGTCATGAAGCAGTTCCCTGATTGATCAGCTTGTTTTTTTTTACATGAAAAATGGCACTTTTACTTCTGTGCATGTTCTGTGCTGGCTGGTATATTGCCATAGTGTCCTCATGTTCAGCAGGGTCTTGTAAACAGCTTCATGTGACTTGATGATCACGTTCTTTAATGCTAACAAACTGCTAGATGATTACAAGACTTGACAGCCTCCCTTCTGTCCTTCTTTAGCCATCCCTGTGCTTATTCTTGTCCTGTAAGTCATTCAGCTCATGTTACCATCTAACAGTTTCGTCCCTCTGCAGAGCAATTTGACACTCAAGCACTATCCTTGGTTTGACCTCACTTGCATAAATGTTTTCCAGAAGTGGTTGGCACCATTTATAAAAATAAGTCTAGCAAGTTCCAGAAAATCTTGTAATGACTTTAGCAGTAAGATGTTAAACAAGAGTGGGAAATATTCCACAGTCAATTTTTCAAATTTTACTTCACATTTTCTACTTGTGTTTGTATTGTTGTATGTTTGGCTTTGCCATCACTGAAGTCATCTCTCATACCTACTGCCTGTTACTGTTAAAACCAAGACAGCCTCTGAAATGTTGAAGCCCACTGATAAGAAGCACATATTATTAGGCATATATTATCAGTACTGCAAAAGCTTATGTAAAGCATGCATGAAGCGTAGACATCATCCCCAGAGCAGACAAATTGGGATTCAATTGTCTGTCAGCAAACTCCCAGCCCCGAGCCACACAAAGCCATCTCCAGACAGACACGAAGTCCATTACACCTGCAGTCTGGCCTGCTGTCGCAAGGGAATACATCAATATTGGATGTCAGAAGGGTTACGTCACTGAAACAGGCCCAGAAATGTGCTCTGCGTAACCTGAGGGATTTAACATGAGTTATACGTGAACTTGAACTTTATTGCCATATGTAACCGGTACATGTACAGGTACCATGGAATTCTTACAGAAAGTCTCTCGATTGTTAAAAAAAAGTGTAAAACAGTGCAGACAGTGCATCAAGACAATATACAAACACACAGTAGACAATGTACAAGTAAATAGTTCGAAAGTAAACAATGCAGACGTAAACAATGACTGCAATAAATAAAATTACAGTGAAGTAGATGGTGTAGGTGTGGTCCGAGGGGCATGGCCAAGTGTGTTCACCAACCGCACTGCTTGTGGGTAGAAAATATTGAGGAATCTGGTGGTAAGTGTCCATATGCTCTTGTATCTCTTGCCTGAGGGCAGTGGGGCCCAGGGTGGCGACTGTCCTCTGTGATGGCCAGAATTCTTCCACAGCAGTGGTCCTCATAGAGCTGTTTAATCTCGGTGAGACCACAGCCAATGATCTCCTGGGCCAGGTTCACGATTCTCTGCAGTGCTTTTCCCTCTCGAGAAGAGGTGTTGCCGTACCACACAGTGATCCCGTTGGTGAGGACACTCTCAATGGTGCAGCAGTAGAACTTCACCAAAGAAGGTACTGGCATCCCCCATCATTTGAGGCACCTCAGGAAATAGAGGCACTGCTGAGCCTTCTTCAAGATAGAGTCCTAGTTCATAGTCCAGGTTAGGTCATTAGAAATGTGAATTCCCAAAAACCTAAAGCTGGTGACTTTTGGAATAATTAAGTTGCATGGGAAAAACGTCTAACCTTACAAAACAAAAGAAAACCAGGTTGGACAGTTAATTATACAAAAAGTTAGTAATGACTATATTAGGAAAACTGTCTTTCAAAATTCCCCTTTAATTAGATTCAGTAACTGAATACTACCGGAGGTCTGATTACCAGTCTAAGGGAATTTTTACTTCTTCCCACTTCATGAAGCATGTAAATAAAAACGGGTTCAAATTCTTTCAGTTTCTGTTCTGTGGAGGCTGAAGTGGGATCTGAGGCTGAGAGGGGGAAAAGGTTATCGAGCAGATGTAACAGTAGTCTCACACTAACAGATAAATCAGAGATCCTGAAGCAGGAGTATTTTCAAGGTTAAGCAGAAGGGAAGTGGCCCTTGAGAGAGATATCATCTATTTTTCAGGAAGGGATCATTTTTTTTTGAGAACCAGGCTCCCTGGGGTACATGATGGGCAGCTATCTGAGACCTTCTTGAACCCCACAAGTCCCACTAGAGGAGAGGAGCACAGACAGGCATGCTGAGACTGAACGGAGACGCATTTCACCACCGTCCGTACCCAGGGTTTCTGAATTACTTTATTGCTCTGATGATCAATATTGGAAAACAAGACAACTTGAACCGCCACCAAAAAATACAAGTGTTACTCTTGAAGAACAGACCCCATCTATCAAAAGACATTACAGGAGGATTTAATTCTGACAACTGTTTACAGAAGACTTTGATGATCCAAAGACAATTTTAGCTCACTCTCTCTCCCAGTATGAAGGAGGAAAATAGTTTACAGTTGCTTTTTTTAAACTAGTTAAAGATGGACAAAGATAACGTGTGCTCAGCACTGTCCAACCCCTTCACACCAAGCCACATACTGCAGCAGTGGGTATCCAGGATGCAAAGCAAATAGAGGATGAAAAAAAGATGACCTCAATAGATAAATGTCCTGAGGCTCATTACGTTCCAATGGACCAAAATTAGGTCATAACATAATTACAACGGATACATGAGAAGAAATCAAAACTAATAGTTTTAACAGAAAGAAAGATAAATGTGTTTTCTGTGTGACTGAAAGGTACTGGTAGTGCAGATTGAGGTATGGATACATTTTTAAGAACAAATGTGCAATACTCTGCCGAACAATAAAAACAAAACAAAAATAAGACTATCCCAAAGTATATTTTAATGTAATTATTTTGCACAGATTGTATTAATATGTGGCAAGATCGGGGTGGCATCAAAGACAAGCCATCCGTAAACCGCGTATTGGACAGAGCAATAACACAGCAGCTCCAGGAACAGCAGTACTCTGCGCGTGTGGAGGATTAAAGCCAGTGAAGTCAACTTCAGGATGTCCTGTGAATTGACAGAGGACTGTATAAGTCAGGGACTGCATTAAAACAAATCTGAAACTTTAGCAACCATCACCATAGAAGAAGGGTAATGCACAGCAAGCACTTAAAGAAGGTCGAATGTTAACTGCTCAGTTTACATATTCTTACTGTAATTAAAACTCAAATACTTAAAAACTCATGAAGAAAAAAGAACAGCTACTGTAAACAAGTGTGAAATCTTTATAGAAGCATGCATCTCTACAAAAAGAGTAACTTGTACCTAAAGAGGCCTCAGGAACAATTAAACCTTTATATTATAGAAAAAACTGTAGAGACAGCTATTTTTAATTACTGCTCTGTGTATTGACAGTGGAGAAATTTTCAGTTTTCTCATGTAAATATGAGCTGTTACACAATAATAAAAAATTACATAATAATAATAATTAAAGGAAAATAAATATGAATAAAAGGAAATACAATTTTCCCATCAATAATATAATTCAGGAAATTATTTTAAAATGTGTCATGCACATACCCCCAAGACATGTGACAGAACACTAGGCTGTGAATAATTTAGCAGTGCTGTTTCTCCATGCAAAGCGTATCAATAGCTATCTGTCAACATTACAGAAGAAAACACAAATTAACTGTAATCAAAAGACTGATCACGTGTTTCAAGTACTCTCATTTGACCAGACTTACTTTGCACTAGACTGATTGTGAAAAACTGCAAGGGTATGGTTACATTTAATAAATCAGCTGGAAGGATTCAAGTTCTAATCCCTCGTGGGACACTGGGCACAAAGTGTCTTTGGATAAAAGACAAAGAAATTAAAAATAATACGAACCAAAACATTCAATTGAAATATATTCTATTAATTGATATTACACTACCAAGTGCACCCTGTGTGCTCTACCAAGAGGTGACTGACCAATAAATATTGAGTGAGACCTGCAACAGCACAGCTGTGATTACAACCTGCTCTATACAACTCCCCAGTAGCAAATCCTGATTCACAATTGTCAAAACCAGCAATGAGAGTTGATGACCAATCTTGTCATAATTATCATAGCACAAGGTTATAACTGTAATGCTTTCGATCTCCATGGCAGGACTTAATAAACCATAAGAGCAGAATTAATTTTTAAATTAAAGTAATTAATAATCATTTTTAAAAAATGACTCTCTTTTTGCAGTAATTTACTTTAAATTAACATAATGCGTACACATAACTTCCAAGTGATATCGTAATATACTAATTAATCAGCTCAGATGGTTCAATTCACAACATTAACGTTTAATTCCTCACTATGTCTGAATGATAGGCTATATCGGGTAAGCCTGCCTTTTTCTTGTGTTGACATATTCACCACATTGTGACTTTATTCTATCTTTAATTCTATCTAAAAAAATATTTGAGAATAATTGTCATGTCAGATTAGAGGCTTTGGTTAGTGATATGAGAGGTTTTCAAAAACGATTACTACCCAAGTTGAAGAAAACCATTCCATTTCCTATTAAAACTTAAATTAGACATGTCCTTTTTGATAAAAAAAGATTTCAGAGTAAATACCATGCAATACCTGGCAGTGATGGAAAAACTGCTTTGTCTTCCATTTCAGAAATGCATGAATTATTCACCTTTACAAATTCCAAAGGCCCTTTGTAACTGGCAAGGCCATGCTGCAGAGAGCCAGCTGTTACAGGCTCACCTAATATTTCAGATTGCTCTATGAATGTAGTTCATGCAAAAACATTTAATAATTGCACGTTTCTTATAACAGCATCCCACTGTAATTTCGTTTAAAATACTTCTTATTAACAATATGAAAAGCACATACCAATGTTACAAACATGCAGTCTCTTGCAATGCAGATCCTACACCATTACAGAAAAACTACAGTTTTACAGAGGATTCAAAATTCTAAACGTGTGTACTGAAACCACAGATTTAGCATAAAAAAACAGATGGGTTATCCAACACAAGATCTCAATTATCTAAGCAAAGGTACCAAAACGGGATTATTCTATAATACAAATTAACAAAATGTCCACCTGTTTTGAAAAAGCAGATCTGCCCAATAATCTTTGCTAAAGTTACCAGTGCTACAATTCACTTAACTAAAGCCTGCAATCTAAACTAATCCTGCAAATTACATGCCTGCTACCTTGACTCCGCAATTCTGGACACTCTTTGTCAAAAAAAGTAAAAGAAAAAAAGTAGAAAATGAAAAAGAAAAAAAAATGTTTGGACAGGGAATCTTCTTGAGGTGTTCTTATATACAGTGTATACACTAGGAGAAACAAACCTGAATAAACAACAACAAAGGTTTTCACCTTAAAAGTAATCCATTTTTTACTTCCCTCTAAATTAGATTTTACGACTAACAGGAAAAAATAAAAAAGCTAGATATATTCTACATAGATGTCAAATATGTCTTGGTCAATTTGTATTGAACCTCTATGTAAAATCACTGTATATATTTCACAATCATATCCCTCAGAAAACTAGTGACAGTACATTATGATAAAATTATCATTCACCCACTTCAGCCACCACTTTGTCCTGCAGAGGGTCATAGTGTTCTCCAAGATCAGTTAGATAAAACTCTGGATCCCTATGTATCAACAAATTAAACAGAAAAATCTGCTTTACAAAACCGACTGGGTAATGAATACTGCAGACAATGTTTCAACTCCTTTTGACCAATTCACAACAATTTAAAATGCTTTTTTGTAAAAAAAAGGTCTACTGTAAAGTAGGAAGAAACAAAAGGCAAGAATTGAATAAAGTATATTACGATTTCTAAATCTCGTTTTGAACTGCAGAATTAGTTTCATAATAAAGTCAAATATCTTCCTAAACAAAGATTTTTTTTTTTTCAGAAAAGCAAATATTTTATTTAAGGTAAAGTATTTATCTGCTATTGTTAATAACATAATGTTATTAACATAGTTGTTTTACTGAAAGCATGGTTTTGAATGACTGATTTTCAATCAATGAAAGTGACTGAATCAGCTACAACAGATGCTCACACTTCTGGAGCATTTAATTCAAAGTTCTGATGTGTTTATGGTATATGTATTTTTTTAATTACACAAGTAGGCTAGAACTTTAATAAAACATGGAGTTCAGTTAACTAGTGAAACCTCCTTCACCATAATCCAGATGCAATATCTACAATATCTAGGTAGATTTTAACCTCCTTGAAGTTACTGGCGAGTTTTTCCTCTTTAATTTTAACGGTACTTAACAGACACCAAAGAGTAACGTAACCTTTACTGCTGTCCTGACAGGCCTCTTTTTAACTGACCCCAGGTATTTTAGGAAGTGTTCATGCCACCAACCCCTCGTACTCTCCACAGAGACAGCTCTAGTAGTTCAGTCTAATTATTACATTATATTATTATTATTACAATACATTATAATGTTGCTCCTACACTACCCAAATTTGTCAGAAGGTTTTACTGGATTCTGGACACAAATGTATCTGTGGAATCAACAGCAGCAAATGGCAAGTATTATATATGCAGGCCTCTGGTGATTGCATGGGATTTTCTACTTTTTTCTTTCCAACGTTCAGACCGGCCCTGTTCAGACACTGTATAGGCTTAACAACTCCAAACCCAACACTTATACTGGTAGAGAAATAGCGCTTGATTTCTGATAGAAACTTTCAACCAAGAGGGCCACATGAATAGTGTGTTAGAAAAGACTTTCAAAATCGACTTCCTGGAATCTGCCACACCAAGTAAACTGAAAGTTGAGAGATTTCATCATCAAGCAAACTGACCCTTTATAATTCAGTTTGCTTAATGACTGATACTGTACGTTTGCTTATACGTGATACTTTTTTAATATATAGGCCATACTTCAGCTTGGTACACATCATCCTGGCAACAAATATACAATACATATATAATATTATAAATATAAAATGTAAAGGAACAAGTAAAGGTTTATTTCATGCTGGAAAGAGAAAAAAGGAACAACGTTTCGGCTGTGGAGGCTTCTTCAGGTGTTCCTTTGCAGCTACACTCCTGAACTAATACATAATGTATTACATTTAATACATGTAATACATATTTAATATATAACTAATACATAATATAATACATTTCACACTTCTCTTCACCTCTCCTGACTTCACACTTCCTGATTGGCCTCTCTTTCTGTCCCCTGCTCCCACCCCTCTTCTCTCCCAGCTTTTGTTCTCCCGCTACATTACTTTTGCTTACTGCCTTGTCTTTCTCACACCTGAAGAAGGCTCCACGGCCAAAACGTTGTGTTTTCTGTCTTCTCTTTTCAGCAGGGAATAAACCTATTATTTGTTCCTTTGCACCCAACGCATGCTGACGCAGCTACCCACCTGAACTAATACATAATGTATATATACTGTATACATATATTACATTTATTATATATAATTAGATAATACTGTACATAATACAGTTAAGTTGGGCGGAGCAGTGGCACTGTGGCTAAGGACCTGCGCCTGTGGCTGGAAGGATGCTGGTTCAAACCCTGTGGCTGGCAGAGGAATCCTACTCCGTTGGGCCCCTGAGCAAGGCCCTTAACCCCAACTGCTCCAGGGGCACTGTATAAAAGACTGATCCTGCGCTCTGACCGCAAGCTTCTCTTTCCCCCGTCTGTCTCTCTCATGGAGAGCAAGCTGGGGTATGGGAAAGGACAAATTCCTAATGCAAGAAATTGTATGTGGCCAATAAAGTGATCTTATCTTAAAATATGGTCAGATGGTGGCACAAGATCAATGAACCACAATTTTGTTATACAATTTCAAACTCCTTTCATTTAATAACAGTCTAGCCATTACCTCCTAACTTAGCAGGATTCATCCCTGGAAAAACAGACTTTACATTTGTAAAAAATATTTCATTTATGGAAATATAACTGCCACTACTTTATTAGATTATTTCTTAACAGCGGCATTTGTTTTTGTGCAACAGTTTTCATATGAGCGAGACAATTCCTACACAGTTCCTCTGCAACTCGTATCCATCCCATAATCCCATCGACCCATTGCTTTAGCGTTTTATTACAATGGATCTTGCTTTCAAACTACCAAAACACAAATCAAAGGTGACTCCCGTAAGCCAGAGAGAAAATGACCATGAACGGAATCTGAGTTTCCACTGACCTTTAGAATGAAAAACATTAAATGAGGGGAAAGGCCCACAGACACCTTCCAAGAGTCAGAGTGTGTTTCACAGACATCTGTAACGTTTTCACAGTGACTTTGGAACTCAATCCTGCAATTGTTTAAAATCAAGTCTTCTTTCATATCTCAACATTTCAACAACAGTTTTGCTTCAGATAAAGGATCAATCAGATGACGGGGTCTGCTGAAGGACTACAGCTCTGACCTTCAATGCTGTCGGAGCAGGACGTGCCTATGCCCGTGTCCCCGCTGTCGGAGGCGGCGCTCAGGCGTCTCCCTCGGTTACCGCCGCTGCCCCCAGTCGAGGCTGCGGCCTGCCACGCCGACGCGCACACAGGGGGCCATCCTGGAGAGGGCGCGGCGAGACCTGCAGCAAAACAGGGGTACAGAGCAGGTTAGTCGCAACATCACGAAGGCAAGGCCCGACTTCCGAAACATCAGCGGAATCAAATCACTCAAAAATATACCGCGTGACCCCTCTGGAGCAGACAGTCTGTGAGAACCCTCAAACAATTTGAGAAACTAACTGACAGTTAAATCAGTCAGATTCCTAAAGACACGATTTTCTCCTTTGGTAGGAGGCACAGCAGCTATATATGGAGTCCAGAGTGATATTTTAAAACAGCAGCAGTTTCCTTATGAATAGTTTCTTTACTCGGCTCGAACAGGCAGTACTCAACAATAATCTTAATGGAAATTAAGGATCTCTTACTTGACAGACGGTAGCATCTACCGTCTGACTGGCCAGCTTACTGGGTAATTACAAAGGATCAACTCTAACCAGCCGCAGTAAAACCTCAAGGCTTCTGTCTGCACGGCCAAGAACAAAAGCTTACAAAATAGCAACTGAGTGGCAAAAAGTCACTCCAAAGAGACATGTCCTGCTTTGTTCTCCCTCCCCCATTAGTACACACAGAGCAGCATACAAATGTTCAACACACTAACACAACACAAATGAGTAAGCGGATCAGTTTCTTTCATGGGATGGTCACTCTGCAAAAATTGAGGAAGCACATGAACATCCCCTTTCAAGAGCAATATCTTCCCACATTTCATTGTTTACAATTCAAACTTCAAAATAAAAATCCTCTTTTCACTGTCTGTACGAGTAATAATAAACAGGAAATTTCTGTTGAGAGTAATGGAAGCACAATAACAAAAACTGCCCTTGAAGCAAAAATACATTAAAATCTATTTGCCTTAATCACTAATTGACAAAAAAAGAAAAGAAAAATGATCAAATGATTTCTAAAAAAAAAAGAAGAGATGACAGAATGTCAATTCAAAATGACAAGTTCTATTGTACAAGGTGTTTTGTGTAAATTAAAACAGTGCTCTGATGTACATATATGATCCTGTTCTAGGTAGGAGCAAGACATAGAGAACATCATAATTAAAACAATCATCAGCAGGATGATGTTTCATGTATACTACTCAATATTATTGATCTAGTGAACATGCATATCAGTACATACCTATCATGAAAACAACAGAAGCACAGATTTTAAACAGAATCACTTTCCTTCAAGGGCCTGAGGAACTGCTTCAAGACCCATGTCTCACATGTGCACATGTTCTCCCCACTGCTGTCTACACTAAACTGGGTTAGTTAAGAGTAACCCCCATCACACTTCCTGTGGAGGTGCTCCAGACTCTCAGCCCCCTTTCATCTTCTAATCTGGTTTGAGCAGGAAATCCATTTGAAATTGGTTGCTCAAATTAGCTTTGCCTGTGCCAAGCAGACACTAGGACTTGCTAACGTTTCTAATGTCATCCAGCTGTGCTGTTTGTTGCAGCCACTGGATTTCCAGATCTACATCAGGCGAATACAGTTCTAACACATTTACTGAACTTTTTCTTCTGAAAATCTCCTAACTGAAAAAGAAAACATGCATGGCACACTCCTACATTTAACTGATATTTAGTGATATTTTTTTAAAAGCAGAGACTGAAATTCCAAAATGCCAGACACAGTCAAACACAAAGTAGTTTCACTTATTCCAAAATGCTTTATTTAAGAAAGTGTTACTATACATGATGGAGGACAACAGAACTACAGCCTACTGTACTCAAGCACGAGTCCAGAAAGGGTTAGGGTGTGGGTGTGGTGTACAGGATTCTTCTCCATACTGTAGGTCCAACTTCTTCATGTTCCTTTACAGCTCACACAATGACCCAGTTCCCTGCTGTCACCTCACCTGAACCTGTTTAGCTCTGAACAGAGAAGACTGCATGGAGACCTAATTCCAGTATTCAAAATCACCAACAACATCAGCAAAATCCACTTAAGAATCGGAAGTGAAACAAAAGCCAGAGAAAACAAACGCAAGCTACAGGTGGGACGAGAATTTGAAAGTGAGAACAAGAGTCTTATTTCAAGAAAAAGCTAGATGTCTTCCTCAGATCACTTAATTACAAGCAACTGTACAAATTGGAAGAGCAGCATTACTTCCTCTTGTCTGCAATCTTTCTCGTGTCCTTACATTCTGAATTCTTCACAGTGACATGATGAGACGCCCGGGAGACAGAGCTCAGATCTGAATATGTAAACTGTCCTCCAAGCAATGTGCCAGAGATACTATAGTCTGAGCACGCTTAATCAGAGGAAAGGCTTTCTGAGCATTTCACAAAGTCTCTTGGTGTGGAGACAGTGTGGCCTTGATTATTAGTGACTGATACTTTGCTGGCTGTAGCTCAGGGCTGATGGAAATAAGGGCAGGAGGATTAAGCCATCTCACCCTAATCACCTCCCCCAGGACACACACATACTGTACAGCCCGTCCCAACAAAGTCTGTCACCTGCAGCATCTCTAACAGGGACTCTTAGCATGCGCTGTAGAAGACGTACAAAAACAGTCATCAGAAAACTTGCGAAAACTTGCTGTAAAAAAAGATCATTTTTCTCAAGTCAATACAAGTATTACAAACATTTTTTTGTGAACGCAGTGCAGCCCTATTTTGACTTTTAACAGGAAAACTAATTTTAAGTCACCACAAAAATAACGTTGGTTTCCTCTACTCAGAAATGACCCTCTCCCCTTTGCCCTTTTCGACCCGGGGGGCTGGACTTCATTCCCTGATCAGCACAGCTAGTGAAAAGCAAGAACGACATGGCTGCAGCCAATACTTGTGTCCAACACTTTATTCTGCGGTGATATGAAATGAACCAACTAAAACACAGAAACCTTCATAAAATATTCCTCCAGCTTATGTTTCACCTCATGTCAAGCAACGCATTTTACCACCTGAAAACCGCAAAGCGCTCAAATTAAATCTAGCTGTGCAAGAAAAGTTGATAAATGATTAACTACACATATGGTGCAACTGACTGTAAAAACAACACTGTCGCTTTTGCTACTATACTATTTATTATAATAGCACTTATTTAAAAAAAACATCAGTCCTTAGTGCTGTGTGAAAACTAGTCTAGTCTTGGTTTTATTGGTAATTCCCCAAAAAATCATTTGAAGATCAACTTTAAAAGGGCCTGAAGGTACTATTTTAAGAGCTAGGTTTTAGATGACCGAAACCTAACACTAAATATTAACACTGAAACCTAGCTTATTTCACTTACGTATCTGTGATTTTGAGTCCCCTATATATTTGTAATGAAAAAACATTAGTTAATTTAAAAAGCATACATTGTAAAGACTTAAATACTGATCAACAAGCACAACCCACTGCAGTTCAAATAAACAGAGTAACTAACACGAGGGTGTCTGTGGACTCTTTCTGCTGGTCTCATTAATTTCAAGGTGCCATCTAAATAAAGAGACTGAAATAGTCAACGGTGATTTCCACACACAACTCAAACTGAAAGTAACAGAGGCCTGCTTGTGTGCCAGTTGAAGATGGAAATTCAGCGTCAAGTTTTCTCGTGTTCTGAAGTAAAATAAAGCCCCGAAGACCCGCTAAGAGATCTTAATTTAAACCATTTATTTATTATATAAAATAAATAATTAATGCCCCAATAATAAATTTACCATAGCGAGCATTTTATATTGCTCTGTAAGCGTATCCTCAGTCCCATACATTTAAAGCATGCGTTCTGCACGTATTTAACACGTAAAACGCCCCATGTATTTTGCCGTCGATAGCGACAGGCGCGCTCCCTGTCACAGCCTGCAGACAAAGAACACGCGTCGCCGGACGGACTGTGACGGGCTGTCCGAGCCGCAACAAAATGCATCATCACTTCTCTCAAAGAAACACTGCTG